CGGTTCTGCTCTTCCGCCATTTTAGTGAGTGCAAAAGCCACGCCTACCGGTCCCAATTTTGTATATCAAAAATAATTACATATGACGTATCCTTACGTTGCCAGATCAATGCTATTAGCACATACTTTGATTACCATACGAGGCAAGAGAGAGGTCCGACACGCCCAACTTAGGGCGCGGCCATTTTGAACCCTGTGACACAGTCTACAGCTAAAGAATCAGATCGCTCACTCTGCGTCGGCACTTTTGATCTCAATGTTTCAGTTTATACGCTGTGCAACTCGGATAATACAATATATGACAACCGCCTATAATAAAACAGCAGTGTTCTGCGTATCCTGAATTTGTATCCCTGGAGTGGATGTTATTTTGGAACTTTCAACTGGTCCGAGTGAGCTAACTGACTCTTTAGCAATAAACTGTGACTTCAAAAATAATATTCACTGACACTGACAGCAGCAAGTAAAATATCAGGTGCGTTTTAATCATCCGCTTCTGTTTCCGGAATTGTCGGTTTAGTCGTTTTAACCTGTCAGATTAAAACAAGAAAACCGACAATTCCGAAGCAGAAGCGGATAATTAAAACGCACCTATTAAAAATATTGCGCCAAGATGTAGGCAACACGTAATAAGGGTTCAAAATAGCGGAGTTTTCTATCTCCTTTTAAAAGGCACTCAGAAAGCTGCGCAGTGCGACCATTTTCCGTATAGTAAATGAAAATCAAAGTATGTGGCTATTAGGCATTCCAAACAAATGAATTACCAGTGGGCAGGTTTGGTATATCTAAGGGTGGCGACATATGGTGTATTCTATCTACTTTACGTAAAATCATGAATAATGGATTACATTTAAATATTTTATTGTTACGTTTAGTAATAAACGTTTTATAAAAACATATTTTGCACCATGATACATTTCTAACCCTTACCTGGGTCTCATTGTAAAAATCCTTATAATAAGAATTCTTACAAGCCTCAGGCCTAGCTCAGATCAAAATGGGTCAGTGGGATTCGTTTAGAATTTACCTTCAAGTCAATGACAAAGTCTTTAGTTAAAAAGACTTAAAAGAATTCAATTAAATTAATTTGGGCGCCATACCTTTAGATGGACAATAAAAGTAAATTTGTCATTAACTTGTCAGTTGAAAGTAAGAAAAAAAACTAAAATTTCAAAACAATTAATCGGCTTTAATTTAAATTTCGAATTTGACTGATGACTGATTACATAATATAAAATTAATTGATTTTAACACATTTTACGGTTTACGTTTTACTAATGATGAGTTTAAAATTAAAATTGACTAGTGACTCAAAATTGTGTGTGGTCCTGGCCGACACTTATCTTGTGTTTCCGGATTTCAACGGTCGAACTGGTCTAGTCCGTGTCTTAATGGTAGGTGAGAGGTGAGCCTACGATGACTTCAAAACACTGCAGTTCCTTACGCAACTCAGCCCAAGATATTCCGCAGCTCTAGTGGCAACTAGCTGACAATGATTCTGCAGTTCCAGATTACAAAGGACAATTCCTTAGTTTGTTACAGATCCAGAGCCAGTTCCTTATTTTGTTCCAGATCCAGTTCCTTAGTTTTTCCGACACACTTAACAATACTAAACCCAACCGGTTTATTTCGCAGCCAAATTGAAAAGAAATTTCAAAAGCCAACAGCTGACCGAAGGTGTGAAAACGTGAATATTCCCCATCCATAAGTAAGCCAGGCGTGCGCACGACATCTGACCGTAATTATTGATTTTTAGAGAAAGCGCATCATTGGTAGAATGTCCCAGAGAGAGACAAATTCCCGTTTTAACATAATATCTATATTTCCAAATACGAGGGGCGCTCGCAAAAAGTATTAGAATATATTGGAATATTTGAACTAATTAAATATTGTAATTATTAAAAGGGAGTGACGATTACAAAGTAACATTATGTCAAACACAATAAAAATAATATTTAAAAAACCCACCTATACATTTCTTCATAAATTGGCAGGCTTAGCGAGTACTACTTCGAATAAAAATAGCGTTAAAGTTGCAAGACTATGTCGCTACCCCCTTAAATATACAAGAATTTCCCACTGGCACCTATTGTTTGACAGGTCGTTGGAATGCCTAATTGTATTTGAAGGTGTATAGGCTTGACAAAATAAGCGATACGCCACCTACAGTTTTAATTTGAAACCTTCCAGTGGGCCATTAATGTTTTGTTTACTCATGTGATTCAAGCATAATATAGGTTAATCTTACGGTTGCTGTTTGTATCTGGTGTTTTAAAGACGTTTAATTGATAAAATTATTGTTTATTTTATCAAAATGAACCATCACTGTTGTGTTCCCATGTGTTCCTCTTGGGTAAAACTAAATAAAGAACTTTTCATACATTTCCCAAAAAAGGACTTTGGTAGAAACAAAATTAGGGAAACGAGAAGCTGTTGATCGGAGGGAGGAACGGATAAGTAAATAAAAAATTGGAAAGCCTGTGAGTCCGTACATGAGAGTATGTTCATTGCATTTCTCTGAAAACGATTATTTTTATAGAGGTTAGTATTTGTTGCTGTGGATTTCGTTTTACCCGCTAATATTAGATGCCCAGCATTTAAAACGTGTTCACCTTCGTAAACACATTTTGAATTTTTAATCCCTTCTAAATACTTCATATAGTCGACAATACTAAGCCTAATTTCACACATCTGTAAGTAAAAATAGTATTATGTATTTAGGTTATGGGTTAATATAATATAAGGTAAACATACCTTTGCTAAATAAATACACTGCCACTATCTATAAAAATGTTTAATTAATACATATATAACCAACACTAAAACTAACAAAATCCTTTACACACTTTAAAAACGAAAAATTCAACACCTAATCTTACGAAAAACCTATGGCATGTCATATGAAAACAAATGTAAACAAACTATAAATGGCCCAGCGGAGGACGAAAAAGTCACCGGTAGAGGCGCTGGAGTCTAAGCTTTTTTCGCCTATTGAATTTTGATTCATCTAGAATCTAGATTTATTTTTCAACACCTTCCAATTTTAAGCATGTTTTCAAAAGATGGGAAGGTGGATTTCAGCAACAAACAATAAAGCACTCCCAGATATTGGTAGTAATGCAATTTATACCACATTAAATATGCAGTCGTCCCCCAAATTGTATAAGTGTCTTAAGAAAAATGCACCATCACTGTACCAACGGTAAGTAATATTTATAAACTTGTATTTGATTCAGTGTTAAAATAATTGGTTTGTTATTTAAATGTCTTTTTGTTTTCAGTTTTTAAATGATCATTTTTGTAAAGAAAATGTTGGCCCTCCAAAATACCCTGTCGATCGATGAAATATTTGAGCCTCAGCCATCAATATCAAAAATTGATTCAATGCCATTGACATCAAACAAGAAGACACCCTAAAATCTTCAAGGTTCCAAACATGTGTAAGTTTAATTTATGCTCAAAAGTTAAATTTATTTATCACAGTGCCCACATGATGAATAAAAATTTGATAACTATAAGTGCTGTATAAATGAATCAAGAAAACAATTATCGGATGAAGAAATGCTCCTCAACCTAACTAGTCTACTCAATAACTGTATGGCAAATTTTATCCACACTCAAATTTGCCTCGATAGTAAAAAAGGATGATGCTTCAACTAATTTTTTCAAACTTATTTGCCACACCAAGTCGCAAAACTTTTATAAAGGTCTTGAGCACTTATATATATGCTGATTTTGTTACAGAAAACATTTTTGATAGGTTTGTTTTATAAATATTTAATTATTTAAATGGTGTAAATGCATATTTGTTTGAGTATTTCCATGTTTAAATAGACAAATTATATGATGCGGCGTTAATTTACTGTAAAAAAAAATGAAATAAATTGCATTTTATTTCAAGTTTGAAATTAATGCAAAAATATAATGAAGTAAAATCAAATAAAGATAAAAATTAACAAAATATTTGACTAGTTTCAAATCACAAAACAGTCAACATGGTTGTTTTATGATTTAAAACTAGTCAAATATTTTTCCAATTTTTTTGCTTTATTTGATTTTCTTCATTACATTTTTGCGCTACCACAAAGTTAAATTTCAAAAAGCCAGCTAGTGGCGGCCATATTGAATTTTAGTACCACTCCAATTTGATAGATGGCAGCACATCGACTCAGAATTTTACCATTGAGTTTCCCATCTATTCACATTAGTAATCTATGGCCAGAGCACTCTGAAGGAATGTAATAGAGGAACTCTCAAAATTGTAATAAATTTAAAGAAAATGTAATAGAAGTTTTAGTGAATGCAAAATGTGTTTTTTCTCTCTTTAGTTTTTTTGCACTATTTGTGTAGATAGCGGTAGTCGCAGCTTCTGGTGTCTTTATCACACATTTAATAGGTTTTTTCCTTTGCATCGAAAGTGTAGCACTGAGCTACGTCACTTCTGAAAATATTGTTCCATCCATACAATTTGTATATATGGAACGATATTTTCAGAATTATTGTAGCCCAGTGCTACACTTTCGATGCAAAGGAAAAGACCTAATAAAAGTTATAGTAAACGGTAAAATGAAAAATGTAATAAAATTACTGGAAATGTAATAATATAATAAACCCTTCATAAATGTAATAGATTTGTTACAATTGTAACAAACTGGCAACACTGCACCCGGTATAATCATCAACATACGTTCTTTTATCACAAAACACTAAATTATAATACCAACTTACTAGAAATCATCGTTCAGATTTGGTAACTAGAAACAACGTAACGACTTTGTTATTGAATAGAGTTTCAAAAATTATCGTTATAAAAGTCGTTGGTTGAACTGTCGTTAGCGTAACGATGACGTCCATAAACGATAAATTACTGAATAGGGCCCTAAGTGCCAAAACGACCACAACTGAGGCATACCGAGTGAACTCTGGAGTACAGCGAACGCCAAACCGAACTCAGCCAGAGTCATTTGTCATTTTTTGTCACTTGTCAGAGATGTGTTGACAGTTGATTTGACACATGTTGACAAATAAATGTAGGGTGTTGATATTTGATATAAATTTATATGCGATTTAGAAATTTTAAATTTAATCATTAAAAATGAATAATGTAAGTGCCTCTCTTCTTGTAGCATTATTGTGCCTTCACATACATTTAAGTAAGTAAAACTTAAAAATGTATATAAATGATTTAGTTAATTACATGATTCATTTGTAGGCGTATCCCTTGAATGCTATGTTTGCGATAATCAAGAGGATAATAAGGGTAAATGTGTTACCACTATTGAAACTTGTAATTATGGAGAAGATGTTTGTTTATCAGAAATAAGTTGGGGTAGTACTCCTTACTGGCAACAAGGTGCCTTAAAACAATACTACATTTCCAAAAGGTGTTCATCAAAAGAAAAATGTGCTAATTTCAGAAGCAGTAACATGGGCACTTGTACCCACATTTGGTATCAAGACTGGAAATGTTCTGAGTGCTGTAAAGGAGACAGATGCAATTACTATATTATTGTAAGTATTCTAGGATTAAAACTAGAATGGAATAGACATTGTCATATTGATTTATTTAAAAAAAATCCTTAGGGGCATTACATTAGTATTACAATATGAACATAATGGGTAATTTTATTGCAATTTAAATTACCATATTTAAAAAATCACAGTCCTTACATTAAATATTAATAAAGTGACGTTAGACATCATAATACAAGCCCTGACCATATTTTGAAAATGCAGCATATTTTTTATCAGAAAAAATCGGGACATGTTAGATTGGGACCAGTGGTTTAAAATCGGAATTGTCCTGCCTAAATCTGACGGATAGTAACTTGTGAATTTATATCATATCAAAGCTATTTATCAGTTTTGAATAAATTTTCTAGTATAAATTTCTTTAAAAAAAACAAGGTTTTGTCAATTGGCAGGGACCTGAAAATTACAATACAAATCCCGATAACCAGGATTTTTTACTTTTAAGTTAGACATCCAGGGTTTATAAAATACAATTAAACTACCAACAACTGAGATTTCTTACATTTAAATCAGAAATCCCTGCATTGCGTTTAGTTCATAAAAAAATTGCAATTCCAAATAATTATGAATGTTTATGAATAAATTGGTTTAGGAAAATTAAAATTGTTTAAGTTAATGAGCAAGAGTACTTTTTTATTTCATTTACTGCTAAAAAGTTTAATTATTATTAGGTTTATAACTTTTTACATAAATTTGTTCATTAAATTAATTAAACTAACACATCTGACAAAACCAATACTTCGGTTTAAAGGAGGTATGTCACTATACTAAATTAAGTACTAAATTTAGCACTAAATTAAGTTATTAATTTAGTACTAAATTTATAACTAAAAGTATTTTTTTCCGTTTGCAATGATACCAATTTTGAGTACTACTTAAATTAACTATAGGCGCAAGCGCATTGATGTATTAATACGTGAAATTAGCAGAGAAATGAAATATTCTGTGTGAAATAGACAAGTGAAGTAAATGTTTTTTTATTATCAATTTGACACTAGTTGACTTGACAACAATCAAATACAGCAATGCTACTGAAAACCACGAAAAAAACACAATAAAACCTACAAAATCAAACAAGTGAACTTTATTCAAGGTGATAATACAAAATTGTCGCTAATTAAAAACAAAATGGTACAGAAAATACCGTCGTGTCAACTTTTTCTGTGAAAAACTTCTGCCCAACATTTTGAGGCACTTTTAGTACTAAATTTAGTAGAAAATAGAACAAGATCTAATAAATTAATTTTTTAGTACTAAATTTAGTACTAAATTTGCTGTTTGCAAGGTGAATTTTTTTAGTACTTAAAAAATGCCATTAATTTAGTTCTAAATTTAGTATTATGACATACAACCTTAAGTCTTCTTGTAAGAGAAACACATATTAAATGGTACCAATCAAGCAGATACATACTACATTTGATAAAATTTTCATTGGGATTATGGTTATAACAGCACATATCCACCATTGCAACGCCCCTCCGAAACATGTAAAAAAGTTGTGACAAAAAATTTCTATTTTACAGAAATCTAAATAAAGAACAAGTGGTAATTTTTTATAAATCATAAAGTAGAAATTAATAAAATGACTATGAAATGACTTTGTTTGAACAAAGCAACCTGTATTATTTAAAAATAGCAATTTTTTAGAAAAGTTTTATAATATTTCAAGGGCCTAAAAATATGGTGAGGTTGTTTTTAGAAAAAAGCTTTAAAAAAACTGAGGTGCTCTGGTGGATTCGTTCGAAGTTAGCAAAGAACCCTGTATTTTTTAAAAATAATTTTTTCGAAAATTTTAGATAACTAATTTTAAGAGCCTAAATAAACCAGGCTGCTCTGCTGACTTTGTTCCAACAAAGCACCCTGTATTATTTAAAAATACCAATTTTTGAGTAAAGTTTTATAATATTTCAATAGCCTAATAATAGCTTAAAATGTGAGGTTGTGTTTAGAAAAAAAGCTTTAAAAAGCGGTGGTGCTCTGCTGGATTCATTCGAAGCAACAAATCACCCTGAATTTTTTAAAAAATAATTTTTTTAAAAATTTTTGTAATATTAGCTTAAAAATGTGACATACCTAAGTAGATGTTTTCAGAAAAAAAAAAATAATAAACAGAGGCGTTCTGCTGACTTTGTTCCAACAAAGCACCCTGTATTATTTATAAATAGAAAGTTTTATAATAATTCAATAGCTTAAAAATGCGGTGTGTTTTTTTTTTTCAGAAAAATGCTCTGCTGGCTTCCTTCAAAACTAGCAAAGCATGCTGTATTTTTTAAAATAACCATTTTTTTTTGAAAAGTTTTATAATATTTTAAGAACCTAAAAATATGTTGTCATTGTTTTTGGAAAAAAAAAACTTAAAAAAATTGAGTTGCTCTGCTGACTTCGTTCAAAGCTAGCAGAGCACCTTGATTATTGAACATGTGGTACATACAAGAAAAAGTTTTAACAAAAAAAACTCGAATTTTTTAGACTAACTTCTTTATTTATCGTAAACACACAATAACTAAACTTTACTAAAAAAAAATTCGTCCTAATATACACCCTAATACCCCGTCGTCGTGAACGTGTTAATAGTAAATACTGAGGTGGTTGTGGTGGAATTTTAACCCTTTATGTCCCAGATAAAGATTTTTTAGAAATGTACGAAATAAGTTTGATATATCAATTAGAGGCACCTATGTAGGTCTAATTAATTTTTTCAAAATTTTTGTGCCCACCTCCTAAAAATTTGGGGCCTGGACTTTCAAGTCCCGTCAGGGTAAACAAAGACATAATGTAAATTGTAAAATAAAATATCTATTGAACAATCTCATGATATATGTTAAAACAATTTTTTTTTCGTTAACGCACAAATATACTGGATTCTGGATTCTACTGCAATTGACGAACATTGCTCGCATCGTCCTCTTTTGGAAGTGAAAACTGGCAAGTGGGCTCCTTGATATCCCAATCTAACATCGTTTGACATGCTGTAGTTGTATTTTCTACGTTTTGGTATAGTGGTTGTTCAAGTTCCAGAAGGCGTTTTTCGAGGGCTATTGGTATTGCGGTTGTTTGAAGATTTCCTTTGTATTGCAGAGTAGTTGCTGTAGTTCATTAGCCCTTGAGCAACCCCTCTTCTAAATTCCAGCAGCGTGATTTTGTCCTCTGGGTGAACTTTTTTATAAAGCACATAGCTATTCACAAATGCTATATCAAGTATTCTAAAAAATAAACGGTGCCACCATTTCTTTGAGCGTCTATCTATACAGTAAGCCTGTCGAAGTCGATCCACGAGATCTACGCCCCCCATATGGACATTATAATCATTGACTATCTGAGGACAATTACATCTTTTGCGGTACCGTCTTTTTGAAGGCGTTTAATGCACCATTCGATTGTCACACCACTTGAAAAATGACAAATCCATACTGGATACCCTATAGTCAACATCGCCCCACTTCATACTTTTGTCTTCAGTCATATTGGATGGTAGTACTAATCTATCCCGTTGAACAGTTCCACATGCCAGTGTTTTTTCCGTTTTCAGTTTTTCCAGAAGAGCTACTGATTTAAGTAATTATCACAGTATACAATTCTATTCGTGTTCCAGTAATTCTCAGTCAAAGTTAAAACCACCCTCTCCCCTAATCCAAATCCTGGAAACTTCTCTTCATCCACCTCATTTTTACCCTGGTAAACTTCAAACTTCTTTATATATTCGGCATTGTTTGTTTTACAACTAAAAGTCCTAGATCTTCAGAACAAGACCAATAATTTTTGTAGCTTGGCAGCTTGTGGTATCCCATAAAAAAGTTAATTCCAAGGAAAGCTAGGAGTTCATTTTCTTTGAAATTCATATTTTTTCCTCGTTGAGTTGCGTACAAATTTGACTGATACAAAATGTCTTTTATGGTATTGGGTCCCAAAACTTTAAAAAGAAAATCAGTATATCTGTTGCAGTCGACAAAAAGATCTTCTTTCTTCGGGTTTTCGTCGCCGTCGTACTCAGGAATATTTTTGACGCTTTCCTTTTTTTTTCACTTTCTCGCTTTTTCTTTTCTACTTTTTTGCCTTCATAGCTTTTCTTTGTTTTGTTTTTAATTTTTTTTTGCACTCTTGCTAGCTTTCGTTTTTGTCCTACAGATGTTTGACGTACTTGTTCTTTATTTTGTGGTTCGGGCTGAAAATCCAATTCTGCGTCTACAACTGCGGTATCTACTGCTTCCTCTACTTCTTCCTCCACTGTTTTCTCTACTTCTTCCTCCACTGCCTCGTCTAATTCCTCTTCTACTGCTTCTTCTACATCATCCACTTAGCACATTCTTGTCTTTTCGACCTCAAAGACTTCACCTTCCTCAATTTCACTGTCTTCATCGTCTGTAATAATGTTTTTATCAAGCGGCAGATTTTCTATTTCAAACGCAGCTGCTTCAGCTGCGGCTAGAAGGTCTTCGTCATTTAAAATTTTTCTAAATCTCCTGTCAGAAATCTGTAATCAGATAAACAAATACCTAAAATAGATTCACTCAAAAGTAATGAATATATGTATAACAGTTACCTTATTAATATGCGTCTATTCCCTGGCGGGACTTAGGAGTCCTGGATGAAAATAGCTACCCTATGGAACGCCTATGTACGTTAGTGAACAAACAAATCGTTGTTTAGTTACATAAAACCACAATAATTAAAATTTTAAACAAACCCGAACTTACTAAGGCTTTTGTTTTATGTTATTAATAAAAAAACTCGCACTACACATTCACGACTCGACTGCCATAACACACTAACTGCTGTGTTTACAAATTTAAACTGTCCGTAATAATAATGTATTGTTGGTCACATACATACCTTATAAAATGTGTACTTCAGAGTTCCGTCAGGACAACAGCGTCATAGGGAGCATATCGTAATTTACTGAGAGGTTAAAAGTTTTGGGACCTTTAAGTCCCGTCAGGACACAAAGGGTTAACACATTGTTAATGTCTGGTTCCAATTTTGTTAACATCAATCGCAGATCGCCACATTCAATGATGTGTAGTCTGTTCTTCTTCTTTGATAGTAAATTAGCTACTGCCAGATAGGACGAAGCAAGTGCCATAAAAAACTTCTATACTACTGCCCATAATCCAGGGTAGAGAACTGATGTTAATTTTTGGGGCTAACATTCTTGGTATCCATGTTTGAATTTTACTTTGAGTTCTTTGTTAGTTGGAAGTTCTGCGAGTTCCTCTTCTAAATTTGATAAATCTTCGGTATCTGCATTTGCGAAACGATCTAAAACCCAACTCTGTACGTTCATTTTTAAAATATTTTGAAATCGCTTTGCAAAATCAACATTAAGAACTCCAAGAGACATCATCGCGAAAATCGTCAAAACGGGGACCCCAAAATGTAAAAATCCGTCGAAAACTCGAGGTCGAAAAAATCATGATTCCTATACTTTCCTTCCTGTATACCGACAGGAAAGTAAAAAGGAAATATTAAAATATTTTTTATCTTTGGCTCGGGATAATTTTCAAAATATTCGTGAGCTATAAAAAATTTCCAGATATAATTTGACTTCTAGTGGCATTACTAGTGAAAACTACTCACCGTAAATAAATTTAAAGGTGAGACTTCTATGAAAAAATACAAAAATAAGAAAAAAATTATATGAAGAGGAACGTGTGAAAAAAATAGAAGAGAAAAGGGAAAGAAAGAGTGTAAATAAAATCACAAACACCGTAACTTCCAAACGATTCACTACACTTCAGGTATACATTTTTGGAATCCAATATTAGAGGAAAAGCAATAATATGCAGGGTGTTCCTAGAGTATGAATTCGGTTCTTTTCTATATATAAAGAAATTCTTTCTAGTTAATATATTATGTGAGAATTGTGTTGACGTTGAACAATAATAATCATAAAAAATCTTGTTGTTTTTTCTTTCTCTGGGCAACTATCCACTTGTTTTCTTTCCTTTTTTCTCTCCGTCCTCTATCAGATGAAACCACGGTCAGAAAACCTCCCAATGTCATAGAAACTTAAGTTCCGTGACATTGGTAGGAAATAGGATTGAGATCCATGTTATTCTGAAACATTTAAAGTGCCATTTCCATAACAAAATAAAATACCGAAACCAGAGATTAGGGATATAAAGATAGGAAATGCAACGACCGCATCAACGATGGCGTCATCTATGCGTTTCAGATGTTAACGTAAAGTTACACGTCGTTTGTAGACAGACAGTAGACGTGGACTGCAGTGGACAGTTTGTAAATATAAATGTCAATTAGTTGTATGTATATCGTAGAATTATGAATTTAAATTTTGAGTTCATGATTGTGTTATCCTCTAGATGAACTAAGCGAAATGGTTGTGGCTATTTTTGTGTGAAATTTGAGGACAATATTAATATTTTGTAATATTACAATAAGTCGGAGAACGTATTGCATTAGTAACACATGCCACATGAATAAATTTAACAACCCCAATGTGGCGTTCTTTAATTAACCAAAGTAAGATCTAGTCATGTAAGTAACACAAATAGTAGCCAACTTTTATCACAAAGTAGGTATTTATTTATTGTTTTAGAACAAGAAAATGGCTTTAAAACGTTAGAAAGAAGATTTGATATAGGAAGAAAAATATCTGAATTCCCATTATTGAGTTTGCACTCAACATTTTTAAATAAGACACCATTGGCCATTCATTTGGAAAATAAGAACAAAAATGTTAATGTTACAAATAACGATCAAAAATTAAAACATATTTGTCATGATGATAGACTGTAAGTGTAGTATTCTTTTTAATAAATAATTTAGCGTAATTACATTGTTTAAATTTATTTATAAGAACATGAGAGTGCAGTAGATATTTGTACAACCTTTATTTTCAGGTTTTTAAATTTCCCGCTGCGTTATTTGTTAGATATAGATAAAAGCGCCACATAGTGGGTCAGATGTTAACTGCGTTAAAGCTGGTCGTTGTTAAGCATTGGCTTCTTATGAGCGTTTCCTGTCTTTATCTCCCTTATTTCTGACCGAAACAACATAGTGGACAGAGATAAGGGATATAAAGATATGAAACGCCCATAAGAAGCCAATGCTTAACAACGACCAGCTTTATCGCAGTTAACATCTGACCCACTATGTGGCGCTTTCATCGATATCAAACAACGCAGCGCTTTCATCGATATCAAACAACGCAGCGGGAAATTTAAAAACCTGGTAATGAAGGTTGTATAAATATCAACTGCACTCTCATGTTCTTGTAAATAAACTTAAACAATGTAATTGCCCTAAATTATTTATTAAAAAGAATACTACACTTACAGTCTATTATCGATTAATTATAGTAAATCTATATTCATGACAAATATTTTTTAATATTTGATTTTATTTTCCAAACGAATGGCCTTATTTAAAAATGTTGAGTGCAAATTCAATAATGGGAATTCAGATATTTTTCTTCTTATATCAAATCTTCTTTCTAACGTTTTGAAGCCATTTTCTTGTTCTAAAATAATAAATAATACATATAAATACCTACTTTGTGATAAAAGTTGATTACTATTTGTGTTATTTACGTGAATAGATCTTACCTACTTTGGTTAATTAAAGAACGGCACATTGGGGTTGTTAAATTTGTTCATGTGGCATGTGTTACTAATGCAATACATTCTCCGACTTATTATAATATTACAAAATATAATTATTGCCCTCAAATTTCACACAAAAACAGCCAAAACTATTTCGCTTAGTTCATCTAGAGGATAACATAATCATGAACTCAAAATTTAAATTCAGGATTCTTCGATATGCATAACACTAACTGACATTTATATTTACAAACTGTCAATTGCTGTCCACGTCAACTGCCTGTCTCAGTGTTGCCAACTGTACGATTTAAATCTTATTTATACGATTTTTTAACTCTGTACGTGTACGATTGCATTAGTGAGATCGTACGTAAAAATACGATCTTCACTTTTTTAGTAGGTTTATTTAAATATCTGCAACAACTTCAGAACATCAAAATCAAAAACTACTTGCAAAGATTCATAGGCCATTTGTAATTTCTGAAGGCGGTCATTTTCGTTCTGACTTATCGTGATTTTGACCATGTTGATTTTGTACACCGACTATCACGGCATAAGAAAAGCTTGCATGCAAAATTTCAATCACATTCAAGTGACAATCATTGATTACTTTAAATGTGTTAATTTGAAGTTTCATGTATTTCCATTAGTTTTTTTTTTCGTTATATACATTTTTATAAATAGATACATTAATTATCATGCCAAAGTTTTTTTTTTATTTTTTCATTCCATTTAAATTATATTATGCTATGCATGTATCTATTGTACAATTTTTTGTCGAAATATCATTTTTCTACTATACTTGTACGATCTCTCAAAAAAAGTATTTGGCAACACTAGTCTCTCTACAAACGACGTAGACCTGTAGTTAACATCTGAGACGCTAGATGACGCCATTGTTGCTGCGGTCGTTGCGCTTCCAATCTTTATCTCCCTTATCTCTGATAGTGGAGTTTATCAATTTAGTTGTCACAATATTTATCTATCACATAATTAAAAGATAGAAAGAAATATAGTAGATAGTGTACTAGACGCCACAGTTTCATTGAAAAAAACATGGGGTCGTCATTAGGAGGAGAGGGTAAAAGTGCACGTCCTTCTTTACATGATTTTTGACTTATTTTTCTATGTTTTTCATAAAAAATCTTTTAAAATTATTTAGGGTGAATAGTTTTTATTGAAATTTAAAATATAATCCAATTCCTGTTGTTGTATCGGCCAAAGGAGTATTTTGAGGTTTCTGAGATTTTCATATTCGTGTTAATTTTGTATTGGTTCCATTTGAGTTTGGAATTATTTTTCTTTTTATTTTTTTATTAGAATGTTTTTGATTTATACTTTTTTTTTCAGTCTGGAACAACAACAAATTATATCAAGAACACCAATTTAATGTTACTATTCATTATGTCTTCAGCATTTGTGAAATTGTTTAGTTAATAGATTTATAAATTAAGTTTAAATGTGTTCAAGTAATTTACATAAATTAAGCGCAAAATCAAAAATGTATAAAATACTATATAAGTTGTTAGTTTGCACATTGACTGAGTGCTAAATTTTATATTTAAAAAACTATGTATGAAGAAGTGCTCTTATTAATTGACAATGTATAGTTCTATCTGTACATAATATCTTTTTGTAGATATATTATTGTATTTAGGTACTAATTATTTAAAAAATCCGTCCTCAGTTTTTTACTGATTTAGAAATTTTTACTTGTTTTAGAATATATACAAAAAATATTTATATATACTATATTAATTACTTTTATAATTTTATATACTGTTTTATAACATGACATCTTAAGTTGGCCAAATGTGAAAGTATTTTTTTTTTTATTAATTTTTATATTGATTTACACATTAATTTGTTAGACTTTATTTCTTTTTTAATGTATGACTCATATCCGTCCATTGTACACGTGCATTTGTCTATGAATTTATGAATTACATTCCAAATTTTAATTTTTTAATTTAAGTTAATGATTATATTCTTTAAGAAACGTCTTTGTTAATAATTTTAAATGATACTCTTTAGTGTCAAAAACATTGTAAACAAATAATAGAAATTGTTTATAGTTCAACAAAAAGGGGATAATACTCTATGAAACATGAACGGTGGATATTGCTATAGAATTTTTACAGACACTTTGAAACACCCTGCACATAACCATTTTGTATCCGCTGACACTTAAAAAATTGTTTTTTTTTCTTTTCTTTAAACTAATCAAAATATGTGACCATAAATAAATGTGAATGTAATCCTTTCAATTGGTTTCTTGTTGTACAAATTGCTAAATAATAATAGACTATCCATATAGCATTAAACCATATAAAATATTTTTCTTAAACGTTTATAATTCTTTACATTTGGGTGTTTAAAATTTTGAATTTTTGGTTTATGAATAATATGAATATAAATGCGGGTTTGCCGAACATAATAAGAAAACGTATATGACAGAAATGACAGTGGCTATTTGGCAATAGCTCCAGGCCATACAGCGTAGCTGAGATCTCAAAGCGAAGCCGGAGGATGTTCGTAAAAAGTTAAGAGGTTGCGAAGCAACCTGCAATGGCTCCAGCCCGTATGTATGTAGGCCGTATAGTGTAGCCGAGAAATCAGATGGAAGCCTAAGGATGTTCGAAAAAAGTTTATGGTTCGATACCTTTTACCAAAGCTCTCAACTTGACAGTACTTATCATCGAATTCAAGAGTTTTTAAAGCTGGCGGGAAAATTCTATAATCCTTGAAATTTAGAAAATGTCAATATCACGCCGAAGAGTATTCTGCAGATGAGGACGAGGAAGATCTTGACAATTTTTATACAATTTTTCTGATATCGAAACACACAAGTATAAATTACGATTGACATGTTTGAATTGATGTGGCAGCATTGTATCTAGATGTTTTTCAAACGACAGTAAATTTCACCAAAAATTTTGAAACAAGTGATCGTTTATGAAAAAATGTTGCATGGTTTATTGCTCTATGAAAGTCCAACGACGAAAAACTACTAGATTAATCCATTCATTTATAATTTATCCTTTTTTATTACAATCATTCAGATTGTGTTTATTATTACGCAGACAGCTGTCGTATTGACTGCCGCATTAGAAATGAGACAGCTGCTAATTTGAGTGGATAGTATGTTTATCTGAGGAGCGAGCATCCTTTTTATGAATGAATCAGTATTTACGTCTACTATGCTTGCTTTACACTGCTACACTTTAAAGTTAATTGGCTACTTATCTGAAAAACACTATGCAACTATAATAGTTGCAATGAGAAAAATACATTAAACTGATAATAACTGGCATTAGGAATGCAAATATACTTCCCTAATGTAATTTTGAAAGCCTTTTGTGCGCTTTAGAGCTGTATGTTTGGGCAATAGCGAATTATAACCATAAACAATCCTTGTAGGGTTCGATTACAATTAGAAGAACACAGCTACTGGGGGTTTAGTGGAGTGTTAATATTATAGAAATATAAGAATAGTATATTACATTACGAGTGTGGAAAGTGACATTTTTCACACGAGTGCGACTATCACACGAGTGTGGAAAATCACTTTTCACACAAGTGATGTACAATATTTTTCCTACGACCACAAAATAATTTCATCAAAAAATGTAAAACCAGATTATTATAATAATTAAAATGTATTTAAAAAAATAATCAACAATAATCGTATTTATTAAATTTTCATAATTTCTAAACAAATAAAAAAAAATAAAAAAAAAAATAAAAAAAAAATTCTGGCACAGCCAGGATTCGATCGCGGTCGTTGGACGGTCTCAAATTGCAAAGTTGATGCTCTAACCAACTGAGCTAACAGGCCTTACGGTAATTGATTGATCTAATCGCTTATGTGTTTAACCAGAATAAAAAGCAAATATATCTTAGTTATTTTAAAATTATTTTAAAAATAATTGTTAAAGATAAATATCTAGGATCTAATTTACAATAATTTAACAATCATATCGATTTTAGTATTAATATGGACATTACATAGATCAAAATAGAAATTATGTGTTTGACATTTTCTGACAGCTACTGCGGAAAGTAGCATATTCTCACTTGGGTGGAAAGTAAATTCTTATTCATACGCGTGTGATATAGGGCACTTTCCATAGGTCTATATAGTGTGATATGTGTCACTTTCCTAAGTGGTCGTAGGAAAATATTGTTTTATACCTAACAACTTACTTATTTTTTATTTATTGATAGTGACAGATAATATGTATTCGAAATTCGAAGTAATGGTTATGGCGTAGCGGTGTTTTTATAATTGTAATCGGACCCTAACAATACTCTCCTAATAATTTGACAACTACGTGGATGATACCGTGATGTAAATGTTTACAATTTGATTTTTGTAAACAAAATTAGTCTAGCAGTTGTTCGTTGTGTTTTTTAGACCTTGATTGGATGACACATTTGGAAGGGTTAAAAAAAAATTAGGGGTTTCCGAGGCAAAAAAAATTCAGATATGTGTTTTGGAGGGTCCAAAGTGTTCTACAAAAATAAAATAAAATTTAGCCCGTTCATGTTTTGGCATATTTTTCCAAGGCCAGTCTTCTCACCTCCGAATAAAGTTGAAAGTAACTCTTATAGGGTCGATATTTTCACCTATGAGTAAAGTTACATGACAGATTAACAAACAGTAGCCCTATAGTTTAATCAGCTAGCAGTTACTTTCAACTTTACTCAGAGGTGAAAAAACATCCATAGAAGAATATAGTTTGCTATTCTGCTAAGTAACCCTACATGTAACTTTACTCAGAGGTGAAAAAATAGGTTCCAAGTTTCACTAATTTCTTAAAAATTAGCGTTGCAAATGGCCCTAATTATTTTTTGAACCATTGTATTTAGATCAACTAGTAGAACAATACCAATGCAAATTATCTTGGAGGACAATGGATAGTATCAATAGATGGCAGCAAGCTCCGTGGGTCCAAGTCATGTCTTTGATAATTTTGTCGTCTTCTATCGAGCCATCGAACGGTTGTCGAAACTGAATAGCGGACGTAATTTCTTACTAATGGACCGATAATCGACTCAGAATATTTGTTTTAAAAAGGAGATATACGAGTTTAATTATGCTTGACGAACATTTATTTACGATTTTCATAATTTTAGAGAACATAAACTATTTAAATTTAAATGAATTTAAAACTTTATGTATATACTATACTCAATGATCGAGAGAGCGCTTAGCAGACGAGGCATTTTGGTTAAGTTCTGTACAGTTCTAACAGATGTCGCGACAGGATTGCCTCCAATGAAACGTCCATAAGGTTGTTCTATTAGGATATCTAAATACAATGGTTGAATTGAAAAACTTAATGTCTTAAAATCCCATTTTTTTTTCTGAAAAGGTTAATATTAAGTTATGACATATGAATTGTCATATATGTTTTTATAGATAATAGAGAGTTGAAGTGATGTTATGAACGTATGCGTGAAATTTGACATCGGCGCATGCGTATTACAATATCCTTCATGTATACGTCTACGTATATACGTAAACTTACGGGCTCTGGCGTATATACGTAACGTAAACAAAATAACCTCTTTTTAATAGGAAAAGAAGTAATCCCAATATAAATTGTCAGTAATTGTCATTATTTATCATGATACGTAAATGTCACGATGCGTCTAACAACTTCAACTCATGTTTTGTACTGCAACGTAAACATTGTTTTTCTGCGTTCACGTTTACGTTAACGTACTGGAAATACTTCAACTCTCTATTACTTAGGGTATGGTCCGTTATTAACCAAAATATCGGTTACTTGGTCCAAAACTAACTGCTCTGCTTGAGATTCCTAAAAAATGGGTTAAATTACGGATGCGGTTACCTGAAAATGGTGACTCAAGCGTCAATTCACTAACCGCTATATTTTTACGGTTACTATTAAGTCGAATGTCAATCTGTCACAAAAGTGACGTAAATCTCGGCCGTGGTCCAAATGTAACCAAGAAATTATTTTTTTCAGGAACCGCTGTCAAAAATCCTGGTTACTTGTTAGTAGTCGGTTAATAACGGACCATTCCCTTAGGTATTATTTCACTTAATTTTAGAAAATATACAGGAAAAAATCTTGTATCAGTGGCGGTTCCTCAATAAGTGTACATGAGCATTCCCCAAATTTAATGTCTCTTTAACAAACATATTTAAATTTTGTCATTATTTAAATAATTTTTTAATAAAATATTAAGTCCAAAAACAATTCGTCAAAGACCAAAAATTAAAACACGCAGGGAATGCTTTAAACTATCAATTAATAATAAAATAAATAAGACATCGCTAGACGCTAAATATGTGTTAGGCCTTGTTAAGAGTAGGAGCCTAGCGTGGCGATACGATAGGGTAGCGTCGAGCGACGGGATTAATATTTCAGAGCATCGCATCGCATTGATAACACTAGATGGTTTTAACGACGACGCGTCACTCCTACTCTGAACAACGCTTAACGTGGTAGCCTTCTCATTTCCACTGCGTCGCCCGATCGCACTATGGTATAGAATCCCACTATTTTGCCCAAAATTATCTTATATTCCGAAGCTGAATAACCTTATTTTTTTTAATATAATTTGGTTCCTAAATACTGTCTGAACAAAATTTAAACATTTTAAAGAAGCCCACAACAAATTTATATCATTTTTGATGATGATACTTTAAAATTTAAGATCAGTTAAAAGTATCATGTGTAATATAAAAAAAACTCATAGGTTTCAATTAAGCCAAGACTCATTGCAGATGACAAAAGTTATTTGAGTGACAATTTTTTTCCACATTTAACAATGTTATAATAAAGTAAAGGTCACTGAATAATATAAAAGACACAAACAAGATAAACGCAGAAACTTTTATTAGCACTTAAATGTACAAAGAAAATTCAACTAAATATTTTGTAATTCGCTGTCTAACTCTAAACTATCTAATTTGGAACCCAGAAAGCTTTCTAAATCCAAATCATTCGATTGTGAATCATCTGTTGTTATATTTAGATTTTCAGGTTGGTCATGATTCCAGCAAGTTAGAACCTCTTCCGGTAATTTTTTTATTTTAAGTTTTAACCTTCGCGACTGAAGTGACAAAGATGATATTAGAGGATCTGATGTATCTATTGTTCTTTGGAAAATTTCTGTTATTAATTCTGCTGTTTTTTCGGGCCTGATATACTCGGTCTTTTTTATAAATTTTGTTTCTGGATTCTTTTCTCCCAAATACTCAACTGGTAAAATGCATTTTTCCATTATTTGATTATTGTGTAGAGGAACTTTATGAATCGGAAACCTTGGATAGAGTTCCATGAAAATATGACCGGTTTCGAAGCAGAATATTTCAAATTTATTCAAATTCAATAGAAGTTGACATGCCATTGAGATCAGTATGCAGCTTTATTTGTCTCGCCCCGAACTTGCCGCATTTGTAGGTTTAATCTATAGGAAATGTGGATTAAACATCCAAAAAACATATCAAGTCATGAAGTGGACTGATACCGTACTGAAGCGCACTTGCTTTAGGTTTAAATATATCACACATGAAGTCGGTGATAGTTAAAAATTTAGCAGGAGTAGCTCCGCATATTGGACATGCCTGACTTGATTTAGTTCCAGTTAGGGTACTTAAAACTTTACCGACTATTAATGTTAGGCAGAGACGAAAATCAACTATTACTTGACAACCATTTACTGTGAATTCAAATGGTTTAAGATTTTAAATTTCCTTCTGTAAGCTATTTTTTTCATTTATGATATGTTCTTTTGTATATTGAAGTTTGATTGGTCTACAAAATCTTAGTGACTGAGGAGTTAAGTTATTCAAAATATCAACACCATTACTCGTAGTCAGTCTTAGTGGTATAAGCGCAGTTCCAAGAACACTGGAATCTTATGAACCTTCGGCTTTGTTTAAGAACTCCTGTTTATATTCAGAATGTCCAGAGCTGCCAAAACCATAGCTTATTAACAAAGTTGCAGAAACGTGTTGTTTGCCTATGGTAATTCTGTATATTACATCTTCCTGTAATATGAACATTCGGTTTGTGGTATGAGAAAGAAGATCCTGAAGTGTTACTTTTGTCAGAAAGTGGCAATTTTGGGCGACCTACTGGTCTGATCGTGGGGTCAACAAATTATTATTTATAATTGTGCGTGCTTCTCAACTTTTCTCAATTTACTCAAAAAAGATGATTTATTTCTGTCAACTCTGAACCATTTTGATTTCAAATGAACGCAAAATAAACGTGATTTATTCCGTACATGTAATATTCATAATTTCTCAAAACAAAATTGGCTGCAGCAACGGGTTTAAGGGTAGGGTTGTTTTCGGAGAGCCAAACATTGAAATCTCCTTCATTTTTGATTCGCAAAACGTCTAAAACAAGATATTTAAATGTTTTGAGTTTTTGGTTAAATTGCAAGAAGGTAAAGTATTAAAAATATGAATATAATTTAATTTTTACGCCCAGACAATTTTAAAAGTCAAACTTTAAGAATGCTACTATTATCTTATTTCATATAGACAATTGCAAAATATATGAATAACTAGTTAAACAATATTGGAACCATAGAAAAAATTTTCAAATAAATATTTCAATCGAATAGTTTTTTCAGAATACCCATCATTGGTAAAGTTTTAAAGCCAAAAAACCATATTTACGCGCTGATACGCAATTTGTTTTTTTTTATAGAAAATAAGTCTAGATTTCAAATAAATGAAAAACGCCTATACTAGATCTGACACTTGCTGACACTTTTTTGTATCTTTATATTTAGTTAATAAAATGTAAAAAGAGATCATATACTAATTTTATTAACTTGCGACTTATATTACGGAAAATTTCAATGTATTTTACATAAACAAATTAACCGTACCTTGATCAATATTGGCCATTATCAAAATTGATCAGAAAAATAATCGTTGTGATATTGCACATTTACAAACTTCACCTACAAACTGTTAGAATAAACAAAAATGACACACAATGTCAACTTTCGCTTGTCTTGACGCGCAACCTACTAGATATTTGAGTGAAATTTTTATGGAATAATATGAGCTGATTTGTCAAATAAATTGTGCTACTAATGTGATCAAATTATTTTCGTTATTTGTTAATTATGGGCAGTTTTAGGATCTCCTGTACCATAGTGGATCGCTTCGTTCACGGCATATGTGAATACTAAATCTAATTGGCGAAACACTTTGTTCCCCGCGACAGTCTGGCGACGATCGATGTTATCTATTGAGAAACGAATGATTCAAGAAATTATTTATAAAAACAGTTGTTTGGCGAGGCCGAGGTACTCAGCGAATTAAGTTACATTTCTAATTTTTTAATAAGTCTTTTGGGCGTGGCATCCACGGCACTCACTTTTATTCTCAGGTTGTGCACTCCCGAAGTATTTAACTATGCACCGCCACTGAGTATAATTTTATGTAATTATTTTATAAAATGGCTTAATGTGAAAGTGTACTTTTATTTTTAGATTGTTTTATCCATTAATTTGCTAGACTTCATTTTAATTTTTTAAATATATTACTCATGTCCGTCCATTGTACATGTGAATTTGTGTTCAAAGTTAGTTATACATTCCAAATTTTAATTTATTAATTTAAGTTGATGGTTATATTCTTTAAGAAGCATCTTTTTTAATAATTTTAAATACTCTTCAGTGTTAAAAACATTGTAAACTAGTGATGGGTCGTTTGGAAAAGTCCACAGACAAGTCTAACGGACTAATCTAAAAAGTTTACTTGTCCTAACACACTTTTCAAAAGTGGAAAAGTGCATTTCACATGCACGAAATTAATTAATTTGTGTAAATTTCTTACAAAGGCAAAATATAGTTTATAAAATCAGAAACGACAAGTGATACTGACTTTTATTTGTTTTAACAATGTTTTAGATTTTTCGTTTCATATCTTATTAAAATAAAAACGTGAAAAAATGACCAAAAAAATCCAAAGATTGGTTGTATTTTACAAATGATTTGCCTAAAAAAAAAAACGAAAATACAAATGCAAATAATGTTTCCAAAGTGTTTTGGATAAACATCTCGACTGCTTTTCATTGTGACTATACTATTGTGCTTTTTGGACATGTCTGTAGAACTAGTCCAAAAATTTCTTTTTATGAAAAGTCCCTTCACTATTGTAAACATTTTTGGAAATTGTTTATAGTTCAACAAAAAGTAACAAATCCACAATATTTTATTTATACATTATGGTTTTTGCAACTTTGTCAAAATTTTACAAATTATAATTAAGTAAGATTTGTTTGCGCCGCTGCTTTTTATTTTTACTGCAGAAAAAGTTAGCTAAGTCATGATATTTGCAACTAATAATTGTGTTAATATAGGTATTTGATCTGTAAATCATGAATAAAATAGTTTTATTTGACAATTGTAACGAATCTCTTTTATATTTTTTTATATGAATTGTATATTTTCATTATAAAATTTGTTACATTTTTACTGTTTATAAAAACATTTTTTATTAATATTTTTTTTTTTTTCATTTAAAATTCATTCTTTTTTTCAAAGCTGAGCTCTGGAAGAATATTTAATATGTCAAAGCGACAAGCTGATTATTGCAAGCACTACGTCTTCTCCAAATAGGCACAGATTTGACTGCCTATTTTTTGTTTTTAATTAAGGGGGCCAAAAAGTGGGCCCCTTAATAAGTATCAAATTTAATGAAAGGGTAAGGAAGAGAGGTACATTGTACCCATAAAAATAATATAGAAGTCCAAAATAAATGGAACTAGTCTACCGGAATTAGACAAAAAACAATTAATGTTTTGACTTTTTGACAAAATTTCACAAAATGATGGAAAGAATGTATTATATATACATATATACGTTTGTCGTCGTTTTTTCCCAGTTTTTTTTTATTTTACATTTTACTCAAAAAGATGAGTTTTCATGAAAAAATTTTCTGGGCATTTTTTGAAGAACAAACATTTAATTTTATATCGATTATGTCTATATATTTTTTACCAAACTTCATATTTTTGCTGCTAGAGTATGTCAGAAAAATAAATGTAAATATTTTCCAGATTTAAAAAAAAAACATCGTTTCTGCCGTTACATTGCATGCTAGAAACTTGCTGTTAAATTTTTCGTATTGTTCGTAAACAAAAAATAGAATGTTTCGACAAAAATTAAATACCTATTGAAAAAACAACTCTCACTTTCATAAAACCAAAGGATTTAATGTTGCAAGTGGCTAAAAGGTTGAAATAAGGGCGTTATCTTGTAAGAAAAAAATCGAAATTTTAACAGAGTTTTTCACACAAGCCCATCGAATGTATGAAAACATACATCGTCACTATTCCGAAAAACATATTGGCTTGAATGACCCGAATGGTTAAGTGTATTTTGGGGTCGGATAATATTTTTCAATGTGTTATCCCTAAGGGTACAACACAGTAGAAGCAGACTTCCGCTTACCGGAAATCGGCGTCAATCTGCGCCGTTGTCTCGAGGCTGAATGGTACTCACTCTGTACCTGTAAAAGCCAGAAAAATCGTTCTCAGTTGCGTCTGCAACTTCTAGCAACTTGTCTTTTTCTGATTACGATATGATTGCTTTGGATTCTGTTTTGACTAAACTGAAGAGAACGAGAATTGATATACATTTTCTTAATCGCGAAAGAATTATTTATTTCAAAATTTAAAAAAAGAATAATGAACGATTTTTCAATATATGAGAATGACTAGACTTTTAATTAAATTTTAGAGAAAGTGAAATATAATTTAACAAAAACTGGTGTAATCTACATAAGCAGCCTATTCTTCCAGAAGAAAGGCTTATTATAACATTGAGGTAAGTAGTATTATCACAGCTTATTTATATCCAGCTAGAACACTCTCTTGGCGGGAACGGTTTGCGTCGATCCCTTCGCGCAGGTTTTATGCTCCGCCTTTTCGGGGAAAAGATGTCTTTGCCGTGCAGTCGGGAGATCAGTATTACTTATTCTACGTTAAGCGGACATAGCCGTGCGTATATTTTTGTGTTTAATTTGTAATTCTTTTGAACATTTGTGTTTTATGTTTATTTTTTACTGTAGTAAAATGAGTGACAAAAAACTATCAGGACATCATCATGTTTGTGCAGTGCGAAATTGTTTTAATAAAGGTTATAATTGTAAGAAGAAATTCTATTGTTTTCCTAAGGATGCTAACCGGTAAGTACTTACCTACACGATATTTTTTGCATATTTTGATGAAAAGTAAACTTTCGATTATTTGCTATGTTGTAGTAAAAGTAATTTAAAGTCATACAAAATCTTTAATTATGAGAAGCTATGTTTGGCCTGTATAAATATATACCTAAGTAGTTATTAATTTAATACTTGTTAAGGTAAAAGAGGGTTTATTGGTGGTTTTGTTTAATATTTTTGCAAATCGAAATAATAAAATATGTATATCAACAAATATTAATTGGAAGCAAATAGATACAGTATGCGCCAGATCTAAAGAACCAAGGATGCGCATTTATAATGCTACTAACACGCCTACGGATGAATAGAATTGGTAGCTTACCTAGAAAGTTGTAAACCAGAGGTCCGTATATTTTAAGACATAAAATAAATGGAAAATAGTAAATGATACTTGATCTTACATATTGCTTAGTGTTATTATTAGTACATAATTCTATAGTCAATTAAAAAAATCATTATTTTTAGGTAAACCGACTTTAGGTTAAGGCTGTTCTACCGCTTTCCGTTCGGTATTTATATAAAATTCTGTTACGGTCAGGAAATTATCCTTTTTCAAATAAATTAAATTGTGGAAAAATTGTATATTGGTCAAACGGGCCGTAGTTTAAAAAAAAGCTATTTAAAACATTACAATAGTTATACTAAAAACAAAAATAATTCTACAAAACATATTTTTTTCTGAAAATCAACCGTTTATGCAAAAATTGTTTCACATTTTGAGAATCATGGCATTAAATTACCATTTAGAAACACTTGAAATAAATTGATTTAAAAATTTATATATCCTCTTAAGTGACCAATTAGATATTAATAAGTAGCCTAATTAAATCTCTTTACCTGTTCTTAGTTTTCTGTGAGATAATCCCGGTAATGATATTTTAATGGCATTTATTAATATATTTCTCTTAAGTACCTACTTTAACTAATTAGTTTATTTTGGATATATATTAGAAATGTAAATGAGTTACATTTGAAGAAGAAGTTGTACTTAGAAACAATTGTCGTGCAATTTTTAATTTTTATTTCTTTAAATAAAAATGTGAAAATCTACCATGTTTGGTTTTTCTCATTTTAATAATATGGATTTGCATCAAGTAAAGACCGTAATATTATATTAATGTTAAATTTAGTATTTTTTTTACATTTATTAGGAAACAAATTTTTTTAGAAACAAGATAAATTTAAAAAATTTAAATATAAAATATTAAAATACACAGATATGTGTGTAAAATACAAAAAAATATGGAAAACTACACAAGTTTAATTCCAAATAAACTACAGGGTATGTTTACCTGTTGCTTGTGCAGTTTGAAGTTTGATATCATCTAAAGTAACTCCTTCCTTTTTTGTTGCGTAAAAATATTTAAAAACATTGGATATTACTTCACGACTTTGTCCGTTAATAACAAATCTGCGCTTTTTTTCACCCACAATAGAAGACATTATTAAAAATAAAACCAGTCACTTTAACCAAATCACAGAAACAAGAAACAAACAATGTTCTAGTCGTTACGCTACTGACCGTAAGCAAGGACAAGGTTCAAATTGTGAATGGGCGTGGCGATTTTTAAGTAAACGAACTTGAGCATTTGCGCTGGTTCTTCAGATTTGGCGTTTACAATACCTATATAGCATTGTTTAAAAATATATTTAAATATTTACAGAGCCAGAACATGGGCAATGAAAGCCAATCGAGAGGACTTATTTGAAAAACTAATCGAATTATATAAAAGTTACTCGATATGTGAAGACCACTTTGAAGAGAAGATGTTCACGAGTCACTTTTGTACAAGATTAGTAGCCATTGCAATTCCTACCCTATTCCCGTCCCTCGAGGGGAGTTCCACAACTGAAGACCATACGTATAGTGCACCGCTCTTGCAACTTCCTGCGAAAATACGAGTTCTAGATGACAGACTGATAGCTCCACCTATCACACCTGCACTATTTGATTCAGGTACTAAAAATAATAGTGTTTTACTTAAAATTAAATATAATGTTTTATATACAGGGTGAAGCGAGGGGTGAACCTAATTTGTTCCACTTTTAAAAGACTACAACTTTTTTATTTTTTAACTTTTTAAAACAAGCTAATAATCACATGATTATCTTTAGCTGTAAAATTTTGTTATAGCTTTTGATCCGCCCTAAATAAAAAAAAAATCATTTTAAAGCAAATAAATCGTTCTTTATACTTATTCATCTAAGTTGTTATTTAAAGTTTAAATAAAATGTATTTTTGCAGCTAACCAGACAAATCTAGTTGAAACCGAGCTCAAAATCGAGGTTCAACATGAGATCGCCCTGAGTCCAATTGCAGACAGTCCTCTTCTGACGTCTCCAACATTTACCCAAACGTCAGCCAGTTTATCCTTCGATACACCAAGAAAAGTTAAATACAGGCAGCATATCAAGTCCATAACTGTCGAAAATAAATATTTACGACAAAGGGTTGAGGTACTTGAAAAAAATAATGAATTGGACAATATATCTTTGGAGCAATATATGTCCCTAACATAAATATAAATTTTGCAATCCAGACATTGCAAAATGTGTTAATATGCAAGTATCATAGGGGCATAAACATCCAAAGGGAAGACGTTATAGCAAAGAATTTAAAATTGAATGCCTATCAATATATTTTGCTGGTCCCAGAGTTTATAAAAAATATTTAATGTCTAAATATAGCCTTCCCTCGCCTAACACTTTGCTAAAAGAAATCAGAGCAGTTAAGATAGGACCAGGATTAGATAATCCCGAGTTCTTCATTTTATTAAAAAAAAAAGTTGACAGTTTCCAGTCTCAAAGCAAATATTGTTTATTGTGCTTCGATGAAATGTCAATAAAAGCAAATTTATTTTATGAACGAAATCAAGATGACATCATAGGGCTAGCAATGGGCGATACAGGGGAAAAGATTTTTAAACCAACTTTAACTGTCAGTGTACTTATGGTAAGGGGAATTTATTCGAAATGGAAACAGCCGATAGCCTACTTTTTATGTCATACTTCTTGTTCTGCTAATCTAGTACATAAACTATTAAATGAAGCTGTGCAAAAAACAACAAATGTGGGGTTAAATTTTTGTGCAGTTACTTGTGATATGGGGTCCAACAATATCAAATTGTCAAATATTTTAAAGATATCTCCAGACAATACTGGTTTTTATTTAGAAAACCGGTATCTCTTTTTCATCTTTGATGTGCCACATA